TCATGCCCTTGGAGACCAGGAGAAGACATTAGATCTCCTGGAACTGGAATAACAGAAAGTTGTGAGCCACCATGTGGGTGCTGGGAATCAAAGAATATTTTCTTCTAGGTCTTTTGCAGTAACAACAACAATGATAATATAACTTTGTTGAAATGCTTAGATATTTATGCTTGTTATGCCAACATTAATGTTAAAGTATGCATTTATCAGGTACAATGAGAACATGAGTATTCTGCATAAACAGGGCTTACACCTGTAAAGCATTTGCCTACATCCCAGTACTGTCCCTCCCAGGGGTCAAAAACGTATTCTGGCAATGTTACCCTAAACAAAGGTTCTAATCTTGGCATTAATCTTAAAACCACACAATCCTATCACTAAAAAGATCGAGAACATTTGAGTTGCCCTTTGCAGAAGCTTACTCACTGTCTTAGGCATAGGAGTAGCATGGTTCCCCTTTACACCACTGATATATAGGAGAATGCTTAGAGAGTTAAACTGACTATATACGAATTACTGCAAACAGCAGTTTGCTTTTTAATCTATGTATATCTGGGACATTTTATTCCTTGCTATAAAAATGAATTGGTGTGAGAATTGGAAACGGTGTGTAATAAAGCTGCATAGGCTGGCAATGCAAATATATGGCAAGTGACTGCTTAAAATGCCGGCTCCACTTAACTGCTTTATTTTCTTTGCTCCTCCTCCTCCTCACTTTTTAAAAGGATTCATTTATTATTTGTGTGTATGTATGTGCGTCTGTCTGAGTTTATGCTATGTGTTCCACATATAGGCAGGTGTTCCCAGGAGGGCAGAGGACCTCAGGTTCCTTGAAATGAGTTACAGACAGTTGTAACATGCCTAAAGTAGGTGCTAGGAATTGAACTCAGGTCCTCTCAAAGAACTACAAGAGCATCTATCTATCTATCTATCTATCTATCTATCTATCTATCTATCTATCTATCTATCTGGACAGAGTTTTACTATGCAACCTGGTTGGCCTGGAACTCTGTAGCTGGCCTCTGCCTCCCAAATGCTGGGATTAAATGTGTGTACCACTACACCTTGCTTTTACTTGGTTTCTTTAATTAGCTATTACAGAAGAAAACAGGTAAAATTTTTTTTCTTATAGAAATTCTTAAAAAGTCCAAGTGTGCCAGGCATTGGTGGTGCAAGCCTTTAATCCCAGCACTCGGGAGGCAGAGGCAGGCGGATCTCTGTGAGTTCAAGGCCAGCCTGGTCTACAGAGTGAGTCCAGGACAGCCTCCAAAAAAATACAGAGAAACCCTGTCTTGAAAAACCAAGAAAAAAAAAAAAAGAAGTCTAAGTGTTAATTTTTATTGTAAGGAAGAAATGGTTCACAAGCTAGTAAATGCAAGAGTAAAAATATATATTTTCTTACAATGAGTAGAACAAAGGGTGAATTCCTAAATTACGTTGTATGTTTCAATGATCACAATTCATCTACACTCTATTAAATATTAGCAATGTAAGCTATGTGTTTTCAGTGCTTTAGGAAAATGAGGTATGCATAAACTTCTGGAGAAGGTGATTTAGAAAGAGCCCAGTTCTAACCACTTCTCACTTTACTGCACCCAGAGTCAACAGATATTGGTCCCAGAAAGCTAAGCTGCTGCTACAGATCTCCACTACTGCATTAACTTGGCATATGGAAAACAGAGCACTATTGTATTCTTTTATCCCTAGAGAGATGAGACGATTTGCAGCTCACTTGAATCTCAAAGCAGTTCTGCGGTGAACTGGTTAGGGCCTGAGGAGGTTGAGCAACAGAGACCCACAGCATGAGCCTCACTTCCCATATGACCGCTGCCTGTGGCAACTTCTCAGTCATGCCAGAACACGCAACCCTGTGTGTGTGTTTGTGTGTGGGAGGGGCTGTGATCTCTCTCTCAGCCTCTGAAGTGATTCCCTTTACTGTAATGACAAGCACACTCAGGAAGGGTGGGGGCGGGTTCTGGTTAACTTAAATTGAACCTGGGGTGCAAATGGAGGCTGTATAAATCACTCCCACTGCTGTGGTCAACTGGGCACTTTTGTTTCTGAATCTTAACTTCTTCGAAAGATTCAAGTCTTTAAAGGACCTTGTTTGGGGGCGGGGCGGACGAACAAAGCATTGCTGTCTATTCTTTTGAGAAAATTCACTAGCTAATGAGAAAACCAGCAAACAGTGCTTGCGCAGTGCTTGCTCTGTCACATCAGTGACCCTTCAAAGTCTTCGTTGTTTCTTCTGCTCTCTTTCCAAACAGATGATATATTCTAAAAACTGCATGAAAATTGGAATTAAAAGAAAACAACCAACTACCCTGAGTTCAAATCTAACCCTCCAACCCTTAAACAAATTAATAAGTTTTAGACTTTAAACTCTGATGCTATTCATCAGCTCTAAATAAGAAGATATTCATCCATAAAATAAGATTATCTCACAAGTGTGACCTATTCATCTCATGATATGAACAATGTAACTGTAAAACCGATGATAGTTATTGTTGCTACTAATTAGGCTGTCTGATATACAGTACTTAACAGATGTTCACACAACTGTTAGTAAGGTGGGATAACTACAGTGCCCAACAGTAAGTTGGTAAACTAACCAAACCAGCAATAACACATTCACTTCAAGATCTTGAAGGCAAGGATGTAATTATATCACTAGACCCAAGATAAATGATAAATGGGTGTTTATTGTGGACAATTACACAGAAAAATACAAAGAACCACTGGAGCGTTTCCCTGCTCTTCCTACTGAATCTGTTGACCCACCAGAAAAAGCACAAATGAATGTCACACCTCAAAGCTCCTCTCTCTGCTTGCGTCAGTCTGAAGCCACACCCCAAGGGGTGTGACCGCCATTTCAGGTCCACAGACCAGATGCCTACACGTGTGTGTGGCACATACCTGTGACTTCAGGGTGAGAAGGCTAAGGAAGGCAGAGGCAGGAGGATTACATAGTTTGTGTATACTTCTTTTTGTTTTTTGAGACATCTCAGGCCTATATGTCATTTGTAGTTCAAGCCTTGAACTCTTGCAGACTGCTTTGAGTCCAAATACCCTAAAACCCAAAATGGACAGATATTAGTGAATACCTTATATGTTATTAAGTTGACCGCCTCAGAAACATTCCAGGTAAGAACAACGCCTCAACTGTACCAACAGGTCACCATGGTGATTATTTGGTGAGACCTTAGGTAAGCCTACCAGAAGCTATCAAAGTTTGTTAATGTAGATGAAAGTAGACTAAGAAGCACAGAGCAGTGATGTGCAAAGGGGTCAAGACTGGGCTGGTGAATCCCAGAGAAACAGCTGACCTGAACAAGGGGGAGATCTTGGACCCCAGACTGATGGCTGAGAGGCCAGCAAGGGACTGATCCAGACCCCTAAATGTGGGTGTCAGTGAGGAGACTAAGGCAATCTATGGGGTTTTGGGGTAGTAGATCAGTGTTTATCCCTGGCACACAAATGGACTTTGGGGACCCATCCCACAATGTGGATGCTTTTTCAATCTGGACATTCCCTAGGGAATTGGGTGGGGGGTTGAGGGGCTGGTGAGGGGGGAGTGGGTGTGGAGGGGAGGGAGCTGGGACTAACATGGGAAGCAAGTTTGTTCCTAATTTAAATATATAATAAAAAAGTGTAATAAAAAAAGAAAAAAAAAGAAGCTAAGAGCATAGGGCTTAGGTTCGAATCCTAGATAGTAAGTTGTATAACTTTGAAAATCATTCAATCTTTTCTAAACCTCTATCTTCGTATCTCAAAATGGGAGCAGCAGTCTCTCTTTCTCACTTTTGTGACAATCAAATGAAGAAGCAGGCAAATATTTCAAATGTCACCTGCTTAGCTGCATCATCTTCATATTATGTGCAAGGTAACTTCTGTTGAGGAGAGCTATACAATAACCCACCCTCTACCACTTGCTATTGCCCTTCAGTCTCAGAGACGGCTCCGCCTTTGAAAAACCCTGCAAACGGTCTGCTGTGCTGTACATCCTGTGAGGTCCCCACACACTGAGGTGCTGCTTAGGTGAGGTCAGTTATGCCTCTTGGGGATGGTGCTTCCCGGAATCAAATGCTAGCAGATGTTCAAGGTATAAAATTCTTCACATTTCACTAACCTTCCAGAGTTCCAGTTACTGCACATTAAAAAATTTTTTTCAAATCTAAGTTGCTCATGCCCTATGTTTCACTTCTAGTAAAATTTTGCCTTTATTTTTTTTCAAGTGGACGTGTTAATGCTTAAGATGCATATTTTTTTCTAATTTGCAGTGAGTGAAATCTTGCTACTCTAGGAGTTAAGGAAGCTACAATAATGAGATACTGAGAAAAATCCCTTCTAACAGTAGGTATTATGGTAAATGACTGTGGTGGGCAATGAAGCATGCGTTTCATATCTCATCTCCCACTGAAATGAAATAACTGCATTTTAAGGAAATAAAACCTAACCTTTCTTGAGATGACCTGTTAAATGAGTCAAAAAGCCCTAATTCCAAACCTATAAAATTAATCAAAACAATCCAAGTGTGCAACAGTCCTATTTCTATCGAATAGGCTCTGACGCCGTCAATTCTGGACCTTGGATAGAAAAGCCATTCTGCTCTCACCCCACCCTTCCTGACAGCCAAGCCTGAGCTCACTGACACAGAGCCCTCTTTCTCCGGAGAGCGGCTGGGCCCAGCCCCTCAGCATAAGCGCTCCTTCCTGCCAGCAGCCCCTTATGACGGTGCTACCTGCCAGCCAGCAGTGCCCTGGTGTCTGCCCGGCTGCTGAGGACTGAACAGATTGAGATTCCAGCCAGAGGAGAAGAGGTTGCATTAATTGGCTAAAGCTGGTGTGTACTGAGCATATGGCCATGAATTTGTGGCCAAAACACTAACCAAAAAAGAAAGACAGAAAAAAGAAAAATCACATACAATTTAAACACAAAACAAGAAAGAAATGCTTGCTGTCTGTGCTTTTGACCTTGTCAGTGAGCCTCAAATTCTGTACCTTGGCTGAAGCAGAGTTTTCCCGGTATACTCCTTGCACCAAGTCCATAAGAGCACTTGCTAAAAGTTCCGAAACCTAAAAGACAAGAAGAAAAAAAAAAACTGAACAATTCAAAGGTGTAGCTCCATTTTTTTTTTTAACTCTAGGAGGTTTAGTCACAATGCAGGATTTGTGTCTGACAGAAAAACTGGCGTGATGTGCAAAGATTTTTGGCAAATGGATTGCCCACCTGGATATTAAAGCTGTGATTCAACATTTTTCTAGTCATAATTCAAGCAAAAAGAATATCTTACAAGCATAGCAATTCACTAATATACATGAAAATCCAGTAACATCCATTTTGAACATCATTTTAAATTTCAGATAACAAATGAACTACTACTAGCTCAATTTATTTTCTGTATGTTTATTTCTGTCAAGTGTATTTTTTTTCAGAACACCATTCTGGGAGCCATTACAATGCTTATTTTCATACAACTAGGAACAGACAACAGTAAGAAAATGGCTCCCCTTTCAAAAGTTTGTTCTGTTAAACTTAAAATACACCATGAATTTGGACGTGGAAATGTACCTTTTAATCTCAGCACCAAAGGCAGTCAGATCTCTGTGAGTTCCAGGCCATCCTGGACTACACAGCAAATTCCCACACAGTCACAGCTACAAAGAAAGACCCTGTCTCAGAAAAACTCAATCGCTGTGGGGTAGTCACCAGAGAAGACCGCTCAGGCATGGGTTAAGACAACAGAAAGTCTTTATTAGCCAGCCTGTGACTGTACTGAGTGTTCAGGGTTCCTGAAAGCCCATGGATTTTTCTCAAGGAGAGCTTTTAAGCACAAAACCATGTTCTAGGTTGACATACTTCAGTCAACAACAGCAGTACAAGCAGATCTACAGAAGCCAAAAAGCAAGGTTAGTAGGTTTAGAGACTTTTCCATAATTAAGGACTTCCATGGATTAGGCCTTAGTCTTTGTTTTGGCAAGTGGTGTTGTCTACAAGTTGAGTCTTATAGCCTAAATAGTACTTCCATCATGGAGTCAGTTGTGGTAAGGTCTTGGGGCTTACTAAAGTCTGGAGCCCTGGTATACCACCAACAATAAAAAAAAAAAAGCGCCACGGGACCTCTGGATCAAATATACCATAACACTGAAATTTTTGACATGACTATAAATATTGAGAACAAATTTAGCAAAACTGTTATTATTTAAGGCTCAACTACAAGAAAACAAACAAAAATCAAACCCAAGCAAAATCAAATGTATTGAACTTGTTTCACAATGTGAAACAAGCGAACAGTAAGAGGTCTCTTTGTAATTGTTCACACGAAGCATCTTAATTCAAGAGGATAAAATAGCTGGATAATTGGTAATGTTCAACGCAACCATTCCAAACAGAGTTCCTCAAGGCAGCCCCACACTCTCCTCACCACTCTTCACACAGGGTCTATTTAACCTCCTATGTTACACAGCCTGGATCTGGTTTCTACTCTTGGCTTCCTAAAGTTCTGCTTCTTTCTAACTGAATTAAAGGATTTTGTTTCAGCTTTTATCACTGCTGTAACTGAAGTAAGCCAAGGGATACACACTCAAACATGAAGATGCTTTAATCTTGGGGATCTTGTATTTAATAAGCATTTTCTTAGAGGCAAACGACATCGATTTGAAGAAAGACTTGCTTTAAAATGTTAACACACGACCATTTATGTCTATTTATATTCACAATGCACACTGCTACTGATAGGGAAATTTGCTGATTAAAGGCATATTTTTTCTAGCCCTGCACTGGAGCTAATTTGTAAGACCCATATCCAGCCCTCCTCTTCTTGAAATCACATTGTCCTTTAGGTAACTAAATACTTAAAGGAATATTATAGCTATGTAAGCTACAGAGGAACTGGAAGCACAATGATCCTACAATACTACCAGATGTGCTGAGTTATTTAAGTGGGGAATAAAGAAAAATGAATGGATGTTTTTCTCCTGGAAGTATCAGATAAGCCCTATTCTCAAACCCAGAAGGATTGAATATCGCCAATAGGTCTATGAAAGACTGTAACTAAGCGTACAGCATCAGATCAGATTTCAGTTCATACAAGCAACATCCCAAGATCTCCCTGATGGCTGGACACATAATACAGATCAATCACTCACTAAGAGATGCTATGGTTTTGAAACAGTTGGAGCTCTGAGACCAGGACTGGTAATGGGAAGAGAGATTTATAAAGAGAAAGTCCAATATGACATGTCAAAATGATGGCATGAACTTTTAACAGCAGATCTGGCTCTGGATAACCCAGAAATTTACCCCCCCTGAAATTCCAGACAAGGCAGAAGCAACAAAAACATCTTTTTTTCTGATTCTCTTTCTCTTAACACAATTGGTATGCTCATAGTTTATAAATGACCTGTACTTACAAGAGGTTGCATCTGAACATATACCTATATAGCCATGGCAACCAGAAATGAGAAAAAAAAAAAAAGAGGAAGGGACAGCATGAAGGACAGGAACAGCTTAAAGGATTTGACTGTAAACTAGGCTAATCTGTCCACTGTACATGTAAATGTCTTTTCACAGCCTGGAATGTTAATTTAAATAATCATATCAACGAATAATGGATTTAATTGTCATCCTGCTTTAAAACTGCAAATATTTATATAGAGAACTCATTCATAATGCAGCAAATTTATTTAACATTTGTTTGTTTTTGAGACAGGGTTTCACTATGTAGTGCTGGCTGGAACTCACTATGTGGGTTAGACTGGCCTTGAACTCACAGAGATCTTCCTGTCTCTGCCTTTGGAGTGCTGGAATTACAGGCATTTCTGGCTCAGATTCTTAAACAAACCAACCAACCAACCCTATTTTATTTATGTGTATGTATGTGTGTGCTTGCTTGTTTGTATGTGTACCTCGTGGTTACACATGTCCAGGGAGCCAGAAGAGGGTCCCTTGGGACTGGACTTACAAGCAGCTCACAGCTGCCTGATGTGGGTACAAGAACCAAATCCTGATTCTCTGCAAGAACAGCAAATGCTCTTAATCCTTGGGTCATCTCTTCCATCCCAATTTAAGATTCTTGGGAAATAACTTAAATCACCAAAAATGCTTGTGAAGGGCTGGCAAGAGCGGCCCAGAGTGTAAGGCTGCCCAGCTGACAGTAAGTTCAATCCCGGAGACCCACATGGTGGAAAGTCACCAACTCCCACAAGCTGTCCTTTGACTACCATATATACACTCTGTGTGACTTTAATGTAATGTTAAATGTTGTGTGTGTGTGTAATTAAAACTATTTTTTTTAAAGGGCTGCTGAAGATAATAGTCCCCAGAGGAGAATCTAGGACCTAAAAACCAAATTCAAGACTTCCTCTCCAGGCTTCCTGGTACTCCAGACAAGAACAACCCTTGAGAAAAATTCAAGGAGCTTGTTCTTCAGGTCCAGGGAAAAGCGAAGTGTCTCAACTGGAAGCAGCTGGGAACCCAGGGGAAAGGCAACACAAGAGAACAGAGTAGATACCAAGAATGAGAGTGTCTTCCTTCTGTTCCTGGGCTGGCTATGCATTTCTGTTGTGAGCAATTCTGAGCTATGGTTTCTGTAAAATGTAAGATGAAGGGGGATGCAGAAGATGGTTTGTAAGGGTTCTATGTAGCTCGAAAATTCTACCAGAAACAAAAGTCACAGCTAGGTGTGGTGGCATATGCCGTTAATTTCTGCCTTTGAGAAGCACATCTCTGAGTTCGAGGCCAGCCTGGTCTACAGAGTGAGTTCCAGGACAGTCATGGCTACAGAGAGAAACCCTGTCTGGAAAAACCAAAGGAAAAGAAAAGCACATGTCAGCATTTGTAATTAGGCCAGACACTAGTGGCTTCTGCATTGCTATGAAGCAAAGGACTTGACAGAAACAGCTTCAAGGAGAGAGCTGTTTGGCTCATGGTTTCAGAGTGTCCACTTCCTAAGAAAAAACCAGGGCTGTGGGAGCACATGGCACAAGAGTATTTACATCACAGTAGTTAGGAAGCAGATAGTGAGCGCAGATCCATAAGGGTCTAACCAAATCCCCTACTTCCTTTAGCTAGGCCCACTTCTTGAAGTTTCCAAAATGTCCCAAAATAATGACACAAGCCAAAGCCCAACAAGTGTCTCCATGATGCTCGGGGACATTGCCAAGTTATATGCAAACTACCTCTCCCCATCACTAAATATTTTTGAGTTTTAAATTTTATTTTACTTTTATAAATTATTTTTGTTTTTTGTTTTTCGAGATAGGGTTTCTCTGTGGCTTTGGAGGCTGTCCTGGAACTAGCTCTTGTAGACCAGGCTGGCCTTGAACTCACAGAGATCCACCTGCCTCTGCCTCCTGAGTGCTGGGATTAAAGGCGTGTACCACTACTGCCCCGGCTTGCTTTTATACTTTTTTTATATTTTGAAATGAATACAATCACCCCTTCCTTCTCTCCGGCCCCTCCAATGCACCTCCTTGCTCTCTCCCAAATTTGTGACCTTTTTTCTTTAAGTGTACACACACACACACACACACACACACACACACACACACACACACACACACACACCCTTTCTCTGTCACTCTCTTTAGTAAATATATAAATATAACCTGCTAACTGTACATAATGTTGGATGTATAATTTCAAGGCTGACCACTTTGCGTTGCATAACCAACTGGGCGGTGGGCTCTCCCCTGGGGAGGACTATTTCCTCCATGCTCAGCGTCCTTAGTTGCCTGTAGCTCCTTTTCTAGTTCTATGGCTCCATGCAGTTTCCTCCTTCCATATCAGCATGCAGCCGCGCGGTGGTGGCGCATGCCTTTAATCCCAGCACTCGGGAGGCAGAGGCAGGCGGATCTCTGTGAGTTCGAGGCTGGGCTGGACCGACAGCCTCAAAAACAATACAGAGAAACCCTGTCTTGTAAAATTAAAAAAAAAAAAAAACCACATCAGCATGCTAGTAGGTATCGTCCTTGTTCAGGTTTTATTCCTATGCTATATTTTTACCTATCAGCCCGTCATGAATATCCCTCTGTGATGATTTTCTTCTTTCCCTTTTGGTGCTACTGGGGAGTGA